CGAATTCATTCAAGCAAAACGCATCAGAAGTCATGCTCTCATGCACAATGTGTCCTCCATGATGCTTTGGAGAATTCCAGCGGAGGAGTTGGCCACACACAGGGTGGGCGCATAGCTCTGCAAGATGCCCATCCGAACCACAGCGGAGATGACTTGTGCCCCAAAGGGGAGCACGCTGCCCAGGGACGTGCCAAGGCCCACTGCAAAGCTGTCGGAGACCAGGGTCTGGTCAGTGCCGCGTAGGACATACCTCCAACACATTCCAACACCCCATTAAAGAGAGCAACATGTCAATCACGTGTAAGTCAGAAGTTCTTGACTCACAGCAACCTTCTTGATTCTTGATGTCAAATCTCAGCAGTCGCAGCCTTCCAACACCACTCCGGCTGACCCGCCCGCCCGCCTCGCAATGGCCCAAGGTTTTTGCGAACCAACCTGAGAAACACAAAGTAAAAACTCTTGAGGAGAAAGCGGTCTAGTCGTTGCGCGTGATTCAAACCTTGACAGAAACACAAGTAACTCCAATCAGTAAGACACTGGGTGAAGCAAACCAAACGACCATATTGCACTGAGTGAAGCAGGCCAAAAAGCCGATCCACCTCCTCCTCTTGCTCGAGTTATATGGACCGTGTATCCAGGACTCTCTTAGTCAATCCAAGGCACTAGTGAACAAACATCCCACGTGCCATTGAATTCCATCACCCCAGGCCCATCTGCATGTGCTTGTTGCACTAGAGGAGCCAGCCACAGGAGCCATGGTGCCATTTGGGGCAGGGGCTCTATGCGTCCTTCTTGTGAGAAGTAGGGCAGCTTCATGGAAGCTGTTGGACCCCAACATGGTACGGCTTTGCCATGTGCCGTCGATTTTTGTCCAACATAGCAAGTGATAGCAAGCATGCCGCGCTCTCTTCCACAAAGCCGCCGGTTGGTTTTGGGTCTCGAATGCATTCACAGCCTGAAAATCATCCAGCCAGCTGTCTTTTAGCTGAGCCAAACCGGTCACGGCAAGGTAGATCCAGGTAGATCAATGATGCCCCAAACCAGCACAGAAACACGTGAATCTCCTCTCTGAGACCCAGGGTTGAGCATCCCAAGTTTAGCTGAGCCAGGAGGGTCACGTCAGAATGATGCCCAAAACAGCACACGTTCACCTGTGAACCCCCTTCGAGAACTAGGCTCCAGTCCGGTACCTGAATAGCCGATGCTGGTGAAACTGCCCCTGAAGCATGCTGAAAGCATTGAGAAAACAACTGTAGTGTACAAATGTGCACAAGATTGCACAAGGCTTTTTGAACAGGCGGAAGGCTACATGCACACTGATTTGGAGCACTTTTATGGTACAGTAGCATATCGTGTGCAAGCCACATGTAGTTAGCCAATGTAAGGTGCCAACAAAGCACTGAAGCCGCCACTGAAGCCCACAACCCCCAGGCTGGTACAAGCATGAAGCCACTCATCATGAAGCCCTCATAATTCACAACTGTAACTAACTACACCCTTTTTGTATCCTGGTGGTGGATCGGATACCTTGCACCACAGCTTGCGCTGCTGTGGTCCCTTTAGTTCCCGGTTTGAAGAAAGCAACGAACAGGTCAGCATGTCTTGGATCTTGTGAGGTGGACAGTGCAGGACTTCATGGCTTAGAAACCAACCCACCAATCGCAGGTCGTCCACCGACTCACCCACTCCGCCTCGGGTCATCCACCGGCCCCTGGGCCGAGGCGTCGACACGTCCGGTCCGTGACGGCGAGCGAAGCCGTCCGAGGGAGCAAGCGACGTGTCTCATCTGATCGTTTTTTTTGTATGGATCTGGGTCACCAATTATTATCAGAACATGGAGGGTGTGTGCGAGAGCATGGAGGGTAGCCATTCTCTTTATGGACGAAGTTCGTGCGTCAAAAAGACCTTCCACGAAGTTCTGCGAAGGTTTCCGTTTTTTTGGATGGCACACGGCACATGTGGTTTTTCCTGAAGGTCCACCATTCCATGAATGGTCCACAAACGACCCCAGGTTCCACAGGTTGCACACGCGGGCCTGCTTCGAAAAAAGTGGAATGGGCTTCTGCAAAAGCACTACCCTTCCAAATGCGCCTGAAATTACAATATATCAACATGAACAAACTATGTAGAGTTTTCACCCATCTGAAAACCTTCAGCGTCTCAACCTTCCACTCTCTGACTCTGGCCTTGAGCGGACTTGGACCGCACAGGGCCGGCGCGACCGCAGTTTCCTCCCTCGTGTTCCAGAGCCGAGCAGGCGCGGGCGGTGAGCGACATGCAAGAGTTCCACAGGATCTCTCACTGGACCATTGTGACGAGACGATTCTACACAATTATATACTAAGGAGATCTAAGGAGTTAAACGACCTTCACACAAATTGAGCATTCACCGGTCCACGGTGTCCATGGTCGATCGACTGCACCGGTACCCCGGTATCAAGCACCGGTTGCCCTTCCAATGGGGGCAAAGGAACGATGATGTTTCCTCTACCACCTGGGAATCATGTGAGTTTCGGCTATTTCTGTCCTTAGACGCTAGGTGCAAGCATTTGGGGGTCAACGAACCACCTGGTCGTGGGCGGGGTTGATTTACCAGGTGCCGATGGTGGAAGCCCAAACCAACGCTGAAATCGAGCAAGACTTGTGCAAGCGCCTCAAGCCACAGCGTGCAGGCCAGCTGGAGCGATACAGCACTTCAGAGTTGTCGGTGCGCAATCCATTACACCAACTTGACACCAACAAAGAAAACACGCACAATATGTACATACTTATGTACATGCATACATCAAAACATTTAAAAACCATTTGCCAATGTTGATCTCACCTGGTTTGTGTGGTTTGCAACATCTGCTGTGACCCTGACCCGTTTGCCTGTTGGTCGTTTGCCCACTTCTGCGGTGTGAGACCTGACACCCTAATGGTAAGCTGCTTTTGCAACAAAACACATGGATGAACCAATGAAGTGGCGCATGCGAAAACACACCAAAGAAATAAACAAACCTATCAGCACTCGTTTGGACAAATCAAACCTGCACCTTGTCTTTTCGCTCCTCCTGAAACAGGAGTCCTCCAAGCAAGCTTCAACTTGAGCCAGTCCCAGGGATCCTTCAGTTTTTGCAGGTGTTGGCCTGGTATGTTCGGCAACTGTTGCCCATCGACGACCGATCGGCTTTTTGTCAAGCCGTTTTTTGCATTGACGGTCATTGACGATTTTGCTCCCTTCGCTTTTGCAACCATGGATGAACTGTGGTCCACAATGGTCCAAACTTGGGCAAACGTTCGATCAACGCTGCTCTTGGACCTTGAGCTGCCATTCTTGGATCGGCGTGTGTTTTCTTGGTGGTGTGTTCCTAGAATCCACATGCACATGAGGATGGACAAAGGGTTTGTGCCTAAGATCCAGGATAAAACAATCCAAATTGCCCAGTGTACCAACTCATATATATATATATATAATATATATTCTCGAGTTGCCCATAATTGGAACACAACAGGGCACAAGTTGCAAACGTTCATGCCCAGTGTTGGGGGACCTGGTGCAAAATCCCATCCCGCCAGCCCCCTTGGGCTCGGAACAGCACTCGTGGAGCTCCTCCACCTCTCCCTGCAATTGCTGACCTCGGTAGCTCACAATCCTTGACAGCACGAAAAGAAACCATGCGTCGTATCCAACATGAGTCGTATACAAAATGCATCCCAAGAACTCGATGGAATTCATACAATTGCCCTTTGCGGTCTTTACGGAACAAGCATGGCAATGGTCAAAGGCACATAGAAAAATACCGTTCCTCTTCTTCTGCGAAACTTGAGTGTCAGCTGAACTAAACCTGACAACCGTTTATTTAATTTTTTTGAATTCAGTGGCAAAGGGTCCTTTTATCATCTTTTATCCACCAACTCAAAACAACCACAAGCAACCGTTTAGCAAAGCCGCTTTATTCTCTGAGGTTGGACATCGCATGCGATTGGGGCTACGTCCACAACTCAACCCAAACAAGTATTGCAAAGGCAGGTGGCCTACATGCCTATGCCAAATGTTCCAGTGCACGTGCCTATACTACAGCTGGAACTAGTCGAAACAAGGAGCTACCATGAAAAAAACCTTTGCCTTTCAATTGCTTCGCTCGAAATCTCGAATCCGTTCGATCACAATTCATGGGATCAGGATGGTATCCATTGGGCTCGAGACCCCCTATGGGTGGTGTTGCGATTCAGGTGCTTCTGTTCCGCTGTTGCACACCGCTGCGGCTTTGCCGCGAGGGCCAGGCCGTGTCGTCAAGCTACGGCCTCACGGTCTGAGAGTCGCGGGACACTCATCTCAGCAAAAACCGCTTCTTTGTAGAGAAATGGGATCCATGTGTCAATCTTGGTCTTCTCTTTTTTTTCTCTCTCTCTCTCTCTCTAAGTAACCAAGTAACTAACTAACTAACTAAATGAATCCCAGCTAGATGTTGTAATCCACTCATGTCAAATATATATATATATACATATATATACATGTCTTATCATTTCTTTACGTGCAAAAAGTGCTGTATATATATGACAATGCATGTATATGATATGTATAAGTCAAGACCGGTTGAGAGTATTACCTCAAAAAGGTCATCTGGCAACGCAATGCTCCAAAGTTCCAAAGATTTGTTTGACAAAAACAATGCCATCACAAATTTGGGGGAGCTTAACTTGCCCAGGCGTAGCCACCCCACTTTCGCTCTAGAAACAGCATCAGAACACACACACGCCAAACAAAACAACAACTCTCCATACATCATATGCAATTGGGATTGACACTGCACCCTTAAAGTCTTCTTCTCGTGGCGGGGACAAGTGAATTAGTCTTTGCAAAAACCACAGTTTGGGAACTCTCAAGAGATTTGACGCATGCGTAACGGTATAAAGGTATAACCTAAAGTAAATAAGCTTGTTGTGCGCATCTGGTAGCCCAACTCAAACACCCACCAACCAACTCCTGTAATGTCCTGCCGCAAGGCTGCCTCGCCTCATTCTTTGCTGAACACAGAGTCGCGCCGTTCACCTGCCTGGGATGGCTGCACAAAAGTGCAAGAGATTACCCAGTACTAAACTACGAAAACAAATATGCAATTTTGATATGTGTTCTTTAACGAGGTCACTAGGTACCCACCCACTAGAATGACCACCAATTGTGCCCCTCACTAGCGACACACTTTACACTGTACACATGCACGTGCACCCTTCCCCCAATGGCACGGAACCACGCAAATGCGCTTTGCACCGAGGCTTCGCAAACCGCATGGCACAACAACATCACCTTTCAAAAAATTAAGTCGTCTGTTGAACAGTTTACAAGCGAAGAATATCACTATTTTAATAAAGGGCGTTTGTAAAGGCAAAGGAAGCCCTTTGATCTGGAGGTCTTTTTCAATGTAGACAATGAAACGACATGATACGAGTTTAATAAAGGATTTGTAATTGAATGTTCCTATGTGACTTGCCGGTTTTGAAGCTCTTCCCAGGTTCCCATCTTTGCGGGTCCCGCTATTTTGAGGACCCCCTAATTATAAACAAAACGACACTGGAGTCCTTTTTCGGAGGGCCTGGTTTTAATAGGTGGAAGGGATTATTGCCGACCACGTGCCTCATCCTACTGTATCCGTGCCTGTCCCGTGCCCGTGTGGGTCACCTCCCATTCCAAGTTCCATAATGTTCCATAGCCCTCTTTAGTGACGGCCGTACACCTCTCCGAGGTCCTCATCAAAGTCCCACCGCTCCTCTTCTCCTTCGTCGAAGTCTTCGCTTTGCCGGGCGGCTTTGCCTTGAGCCTGCGGGAAGGCAAAGCGGCTGAAGGGGAGCGAAAAAGAACAATTCCAGGATCCAAGGTGCCCGTTGACGGTCAACAAAAATCCATGGTAGTCGTTTTGCACAAGAACTGGGCGAACCAGGATTGATGCGTTTTTCTTTGCCTCGCTGGGTCTTCATCGCTCTATATCGCTCTAAAACCAATGTCGCCTGTAAAGCCCGCCGCCCTTGATGGTTGCGGGTGGCGCGCTGGATCGTCACGGCCTTGAAAAAGAGTTCATTAATCAACAGTCTACAGTCTATATGTTTACATGTTTACGTTGGACATTGTGACTGACCTGGGGATGACGACATGAGATTCCTGGTCTGTGGTCTGACAGTCTGGCCATCAGAGCCGAGCATTGCAAGTAACACGGAGGAGTGATGGAGCATCACTGATTCTGACACAGCATCAATAAGGTTTTGAATTCTTTGACAAGGAGTATGTATGCTCAGTTCACGGTGGTCGAGGTGGTCGGGACTTGTGCTCAATTCTCCCTCAAACTTGAACTTGAGAGAGGAGGGGGTGAACGAAAGGTAGCAGGCAATCACAAGTAACCCTGGTAGAAGTCCATGACGGCGTGAACCGGCGCAGGGCGGATTTGATCTAGGCCCCCCCCCCCCCGACGAACAGAATCAACTCTTACAGCACCAAACTCAATGCACAATCCCAACTCCTGATTGTAATACATGTTTGCTAAAGCAAGGAGAACTCAGGTAGCTCAAGCTACCTTTCGTGACATATAGAAACACATGTATATACTTGTCACATATTTTGCACGGTGCGTGCGTCTGCTTCCCTAGGATCCACACAAGCCACTAAGTTTGCGACTTGTTCATTCGATCCAAACAAACTATTCCGAAACACTCCAGACCACTGCATGTAATTCACACCATGCAAACATTCCATAAGTGCTTGGGATGTCATTCTTCGAGCGTCTGCAGACTGTTGCACTTCAGGAGGAGGAGGTAGATGACCCAATGAGGCCTGCCGATTCTTTGCCGATCACATCATCCATCAGGAAAGGGACTGAACAGTTGCGCGAAACAAAAACTAACGAGTTGATTCCTTGTCCAATGAGACAACTGAGACAAAAAGAATCACTGAAATGTGGCAAAGCACACAAACCAAACTCTGGAAGAGCGATGGGCCACTGCTGATAAATCAGCTTTTGGCAAACTTGCCTGTTCTCAAGCATTTCTCAATCATTGGAACCAACTTGCGTTCTACAACGGCACATTCGGGGATCTGGTGCAGGCGGTGACCACACCTCCTCAGCAGTAGGCTCATCCTGGAAGACTTTGGACGGGTTTCCAGGTGCAAAATCAATGGAATTGTGCACTTCATAGATGTGTTCTTCAGTTGGGTGGACATTCTTGCATAGAACACGAGCAACTATATACTGTAAATGGTCAAACTTATACAAAGTCCATAGCACCCGTATTTGGTCAATGTGTTTCACATTGTTTCACCAATCAGTTCTGCCAGCTGAAGCCAGACCTCAGTTCTGTGGTCTGACCGGTACTGCGGACGTCCTGCAGTGCTGCATCTGGACCTCGAAGCGAGGGCGACGTTCAGAAACCGTTTCGCTTGACCGACGAAGAGTACCACGGCTCAGGACCGACAGGTCCTACAAGTCAATGGGACTCGGGTTTGCAGGAGACAAGTTGACAAATGTGCATCAAATGTCTAAATATGTCTAAATGCATTCTTCACGTGATGAAAAAACAACATTGGAATTTCAGCAAGCCCACCACCCAACATCAACCAACCATCAGCATACCCAGGTTAAACAAACACAAACAAAAGAACTGGATCGCCTGCTTGCTGGGGAGCCTGAAGACTTCTGCGCTCTGATCTTTAGGAGCAATTGGCTAGCAGCAATCGGCCATGGGCCAACCATTCGTCGACGGACGATCGACCACAAGCCGCCACCGGAGCCATGTGTTGAGCTCAGGAATTGACAGGGGATGACAGATCTACGCCGCCCAAAACGTCCATGTTCGGCTTGAAACCATCCCATCCTTTTCACAGCATTTGACAACACCGGTCACCTCAGTTATCTCAGTTGGTGACCGTTGCTTTTGCCCCGGGCCGCTGTGTCGAACGGCCGGCCACCACCTCCATGCGTCCAGGAGGCGCTTGGCTTCTGCCGAGCGCCGTGGCCTCTGCGCCACAGGCACTGCAGCGGCCTGGTCTGCCAGATATATGACTGATAACGACCAAAAAGGGCATGGCAGCAAACAAAGCAAAGGATAAGCAAGTCAGTTGCCACAACGATGCACATATGTCATATATATAATATATATATATAAATATGTCATATGTTGTTTGACACCCTATCTCGATGATATTCTGTCGGTGATTGTATTTGCTCTCTGCCTAGCCCTGACAATACTGAGTTATACTGAGTTAAAACCTACACAAAACCAGGTCCATCCAGTGGTGGTCCCAACATGCCCGGCAACCCGGCAACCGTCTCCGCCTGTGTCACAGATGGCCTCACCTCTGGGGCCTGGCGCAAAGAACAGACCGCAAAAGGGCCAGGACCTTGCCACGTTGATTCAGCTAAAATGAATAGGTGAGTTTGAAGACCACCTAGAGTTAACTCAAGAAATGGCCTTTGCATGTCTTGGCTCTCGGATAAATTGGTCGCCCGTCCTCGACAGTTGTTGGCCACCTACCCCTGCACCGACCATTTTCTGTGGCAAAACCATGTTTTTCACTCGTCTGTAGAGAGGCATACTCTTGCATCACACTCCCACCGTGTGAGAGTGGGGCAAGTATGGCTAACGTCGCGATTGTGCTCGTGAACGGCCGGCACCGGAACATTTGCTGCTGATGAATGGTCGTCTTTACCAAAGGAAGCTCTTCCATTTCACCTCTGGTGGATTGAAGGCAAGCCCAAACCAAACAAACTTCAACCCCCTCACACTGTATGATATGTACATTTTTGTGATATAACATGACTTGAATTGAATGATCAATTATTAGACCCGGACGCGCCAACACTTGCTTCGCAAGACAAACTCAAGGTATCCCCTAAAGGATCCTAAAGGGCTACCTTTCGTGATTAAAAACAAACATAAACATCAGCACACCCTATGATAATTCTGGGCAGCAGGTAATTAAGTCCTCAAATCTAAAACATCCAGAAACGCTTGAGTTTGTGGATGGACCGACAGGGGTGCCTTCACAAAATCTTGAGCAACCCTGCGACTTGTATCAAGACCCGAAACAGATTGGTGTTGAACGCAAACCAGTGGCTTCCGGGCAACTCTCAGCAATGGGCTACTGCACATTGTCTGTAGACATATTCCTCTTTAGCGCTGTCTGTCTCATTTGCTGCCTGTGGCCCCTTGGCTTGCAGCTTCAAGGCTGAACGTCGCGAGAAGACCTGGTTGGTGGGCCAGGCTAGTGGCAGGTATATAGTTGGGGTTATATAATTAAGTTCAGGTCAGCTGAGACTTCAAGAATTCCAAAATGAATGTCCTCTGAGTCTGTGCATGGGCTGCTTGCATTCCTGGACAGTCGCACCCCGTGGCATCGACACTGCGGAGATTTCCACTCACTGGGTTTCGAGACCTGACAAGACACCGCACTCTTGTTGATCAAAGCACTTGAGTATTCTCGCCCAACTTGGGTGCATCAAGTTCCATTGGAACCACGATGGCAAACCCAAGCCGCGAGAGTAGACTAGGATCGAACAAAACACTGAGATGGGAAGTAATCGTGGGCGAATCATGTGTGAGGGAGTTCCTGCAACCCATATTTACAAGTGAGTGCAACATGTGCAACATGGTAGACTGAGGGGCATGGAGGGACAATATCCTGGGTTGACTCCTTGATTTGTTGTATGCAATCCCTGCTCATCCGGCACATTCACCTCACAAAGACCGGTCAACTGGGACCTGCTCATCTAAGAAGTAGAAGTCGACTCCAGCAAAACACCTATGAACACCCCTGGTCGAACAACTGTAAAACATGTTCCATGCAAGAATCTGCAACATCAACAAAACCCCCGGTTGTTCAGGTACTTGGTCGAATATCGTTCTTCAATAATGAGTCACCCAGCAGCCAGGTTCTTCAAACCTCAATTGCGGACCATGCCTGCTCGAACAAATCATGCTACACAGTGCTACACCATCCTAATTGGCCAAACACTTGTTGCACTGGCAGAAACGTGTGATTCAAATACCGCCATGACTCCATGACCAAGTTTGGTCGAGTTTCGGCAGCCAGCCAAAACGCGCCAGCCCCCCCGCCCTTCCGCCTTCCGCCGCTGCTGCTGTGCCATCTGCCGGCCCTTGCGCCCGCGCACAGTGGACTGGATCTTAGTGGCCTAGGCCAGGCGGACCAGTACATGTTTGTTCAATATATTTAGTAATTTACACAGTATTATATAGATATTTAAATATACGTTCTTATATGCGTGCAGTGGTAGATAGAAGAGGGATTCAGTTTTCTATTCAGGGGTCACCAACTGGATGAGCTCCAGAAATCTAACTCAGTTGGCAATGCTTGCTCCGGCTTACACCTAGACTTCCTGAAAGAAATCCGCAAACTGACCAACCGCATCCAGCCCAATGAGCCCAACTCAGATTCTTGCCGCGGCTTCTTGTACTTCTTGAGGCACTGGAGGCAAGTCCGGCAAATGGGATGGTGGAGGTACATCCTCCAGGTGCACAAGTCATTCCATGCACAGCTGAGCATCCCAAGGTCTCCGGGAAGACATGGACATATAAACTATATAGCGTCTGAGCTTGACCCGGAACAATCATCATGACATCGACGTGCGTCCGTCTTGAGATGTTTAGGGCGCTCCTCGATGATCTTCTTTGATGCATCGAGTCTGGCGATGTCTTGTGATCCTATTCTGCCACAGCCCCCGGTCCACGATGGCATTACAAACCTGGGTCAGGTCCTTCAAAGCACTCCAAGACTCTGTATTCAACTGTGATCATAGTCAGCGTTGATAGAATACCAGCTGAATATTGGGTACCGATTTCCTGACGTTGTAGCGCCACATGCTTGGAGTGTTGTTGTTGCGCCAGGACCCGCAGGAACGGAACCCGCTGGATTGCCTTGATGGAGCCTCGCTCCGTGGCCACGGGTGGAGACAAAGAATGCTCGACCTGCGAACCCGGAATGGATCGGTTGTCTATTCCGTCGAGACCTTCCCATTGGAGCCATTGGAGCTAGTCGAAATAGAACTAGACGAAATAGACATGAACGGACCGTTGATTTTATGTATATAAGTAGACTATAGGTCAGCCGGTGACCTTGGGGAAACTGTTTGCGCGCAGATTGGTTGCCCCAAATAGACCAACGCATCAAACGAGGAAATGCGATTTGAATTGACTGATTCACATGGCCACATGGCTGGTGGTATGAATGAAAGGACACAGTTGTCCAATACCAATGAAACCTTCTTGCAGGATTCAGAAAATAACGGCGAATCATGGCGAACCCTCCTCCGCTTAACACAGATTAGAGAGACAAATACAGTATGAAACCATTTGCTGTGAACAACAGGGACGGGAATGGTCAAAGCCCGCATCCCCCCGGTAGGTGGACCTCCGACTCGTAAGTCCATTCTGTTCATTTTCTCTGGTCAAGCAAGGTCACCCGGTTTGGACCCACTCCGAGCCGTACGCTTGACGTTGGAGCCAACCTGCTTCACCCTCCTCCGGGCACGTCGCCCGCGCTCAGCAGACTGGATCTTGAGGGCCTCAGGTCATTGGTGCGTCTTTGCAACGAAAAGTGCTTGCTTCACAAATACAGTGGTTTCAGAGTAGATTACACAATGCCCAAAAGGTGGTTTATGTGGATCCCCACTAAAATCTAAAAGACATGGGTTGTGACATCTGCTACTCTGAAAACACTCTAGTTTCATTTGTCTACCACACCAGCTGCTACATCATGTTATTTGTTACTATCAACATGTCTCATAGGAGAGAAAGTCAAAGGGTACTGCTGCTGCAGCTAGGGACGCCATGCAGGTCACTCAACTACAAAAGGATCCTGCTGACTCCAGCCTTCCCATAAGGGATGTACATATACATGTATACACTAGTGTATACGTGCCAATGAATTGGGATACGCTGTGAGGGAGTTGCGGGTTCATGCTCACAAGTAAGGATATGCCCCACAAACATTGGGATCGCAAATGATTATATAGTGTCAGTAGTCAGTACCTCCATCTTCGCCAACTGCCCACAGCATGATCATTCACACTCCTGGCTTGCCAGTCAATGACATGTGATGACATTTGGACCAGGACTTGGAGCCGGGGATCCATTTTCGATAGCTTTTTGTAGCCTACTCATACAGTTGCACGCCTTCACATTTCAGCTGCCTCACTTGTCACCGAGGGTCTGCATGTTCTTCCAGCATTGCTGGCTGGGTGCGAGCCTGCCAGCGCTGCGTTCGGGAGGTGCATTCTCACTCGGTGCGGGTCGGGCCGCACATCAATGACCTCACCAAGTGCTTCCACATCTTCCTAAAAAATAACCAAATGATTCAATGTCGTGGATGATCCCCAACCCCAAGGGCCCCCCAAGGGCCCCCAAGGGCCTAGCTACTTCTTTTTCAGGCCAGTACTCCCTTCTGCTATGCTCCTGCCCAAATCCATGAAAACCAAATGAACTTCACACTGCTAAGTGCTCCCCACTTCCTGGAGCGAATGGGATATGGGGATGTGGATGTTCCAGTTGAGCCTGTGACTGTTGAGGAATGGAATCTTGCAGTTGGGCATGATGCTCGGACGAGGCAAAGAAGAGTGGTCCCTGTATGCCAATCCCTCACTTAAGTGGGATGGTTGAATACGAAAAAGTCCAACCAAACTAGGATGATGCTTGGCACAGGTCACGGCCTTGTGCTTGGGCGCCGCAATCTTGTTGGCCTCTGATGCGTGAAGAGAAAACAGTGCCACGGGCTACTGCACATCTCCGTAACAGCACTGGTGTATGCCTTAAATCTGGCAGAAAAGCTAATGCAACAAACATTGCGATTCCTCCACCGCTTCGCAAGCTCACAAAGAAAGAGTAGCTACCAACATCGAACCCAAACAAGTTCGCTTCATCATCCCGTGGGATGC